TTTATATATATATATATATATAGTATATTCAAGGTAACCGACTAGTTTTGATAACTTTTTATCTAAATATTAGTATAAAATTTAAAAAACTTGTTTATATGTTTTGTTATTTGCAAAAACTCATGTAACTGGCAAAAATTATTGTTATTATTTTGATGGTCTTTTTTAGGCAAAAATAAAGCATACCTATTACATATACGCTAAAGTCTGTAAAAAAACTCTATCGCGAAAAATAAAATAATCCTTAGAGCATTTAATTTCGAAGGCTATCAACTATGTTTTGAACTATAAAGTTGATATCAAGTGCACATACTGCTGAGATAGGGATCAATGTGATTAAAAAATTAAATTTTTACAATTTTCTGCGCTTTTCTTTGCCAACAAACATGCATAATACAGGAAATTCTACTTTTTCTCTTAATCTGTTGTTCAAAACATGTGAGCTATAATCATAAACACTCATGAAACATTGTAGATAATTATTTCAAAAACAACATGAGATATCGTGTTTAAGGTGGTGTTATACGGTGATTTTAAAATAAACGCATTTAAAGACTTAAACTTATTATAGTGAATCCCCTAGCACAAAAACTGCTCCACTGTTATCCCCTAGCACAAAAACTGCTATAACTTTGTAAATAAATAGAGTACAAACAAAAGAAAAATATTTTTAGAAAGCTACGAGTACAGGAATTCTAAATTTACAATAAACTCATTTTCAAACATTTTGCCCTAACTCATGTTTTTGTACTAGTCAGACACTACAGCAATGGAATTGTTCTAGTTTATTGTTTTGTACTAGTTTACAATAGAAAGCAATAAAGAATTGCTCCCTCGTGTAATCAACTATGTTAAAACGTAGGTCTGTAGTTATACTCTTCATTTATTAAGTTTATTGTATAATTTTATAGTTTGAAAGTTTTCTAAATCATATATGTTTAAGACAAAAAAAAATAATAATAAAAGATGTTTGCGTATGTTACCCTAATATTTGAGGTAACTTAAGTCATCATTCTGAAATAAAAATCTGGCTCATGTTAATTGAAGAGGAGCAAAAATTAAATAAATAAATGTATTCTAATGCTATTTTAAGCAATTATTTGTAAAAAAAGTGAAAACGAAAGTAATTTTTGTCCATTTTTAGTGTTTTGGATATTTAACTTCTACAAATATATTCAAGTCTTTAAATTAATAAATAAAGTTCAGTTAACAAGTTTAAAAATTAGACTGTAAGGCCCTTTATTATTTCTTATAGAATGTAAAGTCGTGACGATGTCTGAAGTATTCGTATTAGATTTGTAGAACTCAGGTCTTGGTAACACCAAAAAAGGAGCAAGAATGAAAATAGAAAAGAAAAATATGTTAATGTTATGAAAAGCATAAATTTATAATGAAATTACCGTTGATAAATATAAAGGTTTCTAAATTTATCTATACAATTGATAAAGTTTCCTAACATGCAATGTAAATTTTTTCAAAACATTTAACTAATCAAGAAAATTACCAATTAAATAATTAGCAAATGAACAATTATTAGAAAATTAACAATAAACACGAAAACTAACTATCAAATTCAAAACAGTGTTCGCAGTTAAATGACCAATGCAACAAAATGTTAGTTAAATGACCATACTGATTGGTAATGACACTTCTGGTAAAGAAATTGGCTAATTAAACCAAAATATATAGTATTTAAACTATTCATATAGAAATTCTTCTTCTATTCATATGGTAACGGTTTACCAGAAATTCTAGTTTTTAAAATTATAGTTTTTATTACCACACATGTAGTAAAAAATACAAAAACTAAAATTTAATTTATCCAAATAAATGGTTTTTATACCATGCTCTAAGGTTTCATGATAAAATTAAAATATTCAACCACATTTACCAAATTGTATAATACATTAAAAAATTATATTTTATTTTTAGTTTCACCCAAAATAATTACGAAATGGCTTCGATTAAATTTACCGAGTTTCTTAGAGTTCTCATACAGTCAAAAACACGGTAAATCTTACCATATACTGGTAGTTTTGACCATATTTTTTTATCCGTGATAAAAACAGCGTCTAACTTTTACCTGTCAAGCAGACTTTAAATATCCCAATAATAATTCCTCTATGTTAATGATTCCGATATTTTTTCTTATAAATTGAACAATAATTAAAAAAATTAAAATTAAAAAATATGGAGCAAAATTAATTCGATTTAAAATTTATCCTTAAAATTTTCATATTTAAATTTAAAATGAGGCCTGATTTTCTTACTTCAGTTATAGGAAACGATTAAATTTTTTTTGTGTGTAGTTAGTATTCTTTTAATTTTTCTAAGTAGTTCTTCATCGTCCAACTTCGTTTTTTAAGGAATGATTCAAAATACTAGTTTTTATGCACTATACTGTTTCGAAATTAAATATTTCATTTATTTCAAGCAGCTCTTAGAATCTCCAAAGGAAAGATTGAATTATATAGGAAAATATAAAAACATAACAGAACAGTTGCAAATATATTTTTAAGGAGGAGAATGTTTTTTCCCCTTGAGAAAACTGAAAGTAAGAGATTTCAGAAAATTCAAGATATATAACACGAAATATAGCAGTTAATCATAATTTATATTGAAAAAATAATTTTTGCGGTCGAAACTGATTTTTCCCAAGTGGAAACTAAAAGTAAGATTTAAAATTTCTTTTTCGGTAATGAAATAAAACTATAATGGTAATAACAAATTTAGAGGGTTCTTGGAAAAAAAAACTAAATAAAAAAAAACTCTTATAATTACTTACAGTTAGGTTCCTTATCTGCGGAATTTAAGACGAAGCTGATGCTTTTCGGTAAACTACTGCAAAACATTTTTTCCTAGCTGGTTCACAAATGTTACACTAGTTTCTGTGAATCGTACTAAATTCAAACAATAGATAAATATTTCAAAGTCTAAAACTTTTCATACTTTATTTTGAATTTTCAGCAATCCATATTCTTCTTTTTCAACGTGAAAATCCATACATAATTGATCATGCTTAATAAATAATTCTTGTTAAGTATATAGAACTATATCAGCAGATAAATGCCTCAACGTAAATATTAAACGTTAAACGGTCTAAACCATTTTATAAGCATATTATCAACAAATGGAAACTTCAGAAGAAAGATAATAAAGTACATTAAACTTCATCATTGAGGAAATATGCAAAATAAAATATTAATAATAAATATTTCAACAGTTTTTCTGTTCTGAAAATGATAGAAATTATTTGAAAAATTCTTTGTCTGATTTTGTATCTAATGACACAATAAATAACGTGCCAACTTTACAAACACATCATAAAAATAATTATGGCCACTCAAGTAATTAGATAAATGATTTGCATTTTTCTCCGTTTGGAATGATATTCGTGAATACAAAAATTCTAAACATTACGAACTTCGAGTTAAACCGCGTGCAATAATTGCCTTTTTAAATAACGGAAAAAGACACCACAATCTGTTTAAGATTTAACAATAAATGGTGGTAATTTTGAAAAGCGTAGACTTCAATAATCCTTTCAAAACGGGAAATATTAATTATGTCTTTTAAACTCGCATGCCAAGAAAATAAAACTGTTTAACATCATTCATAATTTAAACCGGAAAATTGACTTGTCCCAGATTACGCTAATTGGTTTTCGTAAAAGAGCTATTAATTTTCTATATGCAGAAATGATATGGCGCTTAAATCCATAATTTATTACTAAAACTGTTTCATTAAGTATGCATATGGAAAAACGGAAGGTTTTAAATTTTTAAAATTACATTATCTTCAAAAAACTGCTGGAGTTATTGCAATCAGAGATAATTATTCCTTCAGAATGTATAATGAGTTTTGAAAGGTTAACATTTACGGTACGTATTTTTCAAGAAATCTTCTCCGTCTTTTCAACAGTTAAATGAAATCGAATCTTTAAATTATTCAGTGGAAATTCAATTCTCTAAACTTTATATTAAGTGACTGCCGGAATTTAGATATGCGAGATTTTTTTTCTCGGTATCCATTTCAGCCTTCTAAAAAATGCAATGATGATTTGCAGTTTTTTCTTTGTTATTCTCTTCTACTTTTCAAATTAATATTTTATGGAAAATAAAATGTTCTTGTATATTTTTTTCCATATATTAATTACTATAGTTTTTCGTACAATAGTTATTATAAAATTTCATTATATTCACTTGTTCTGATTTTTATACAATGTTCTTCTTCTTTAACCTCCTTAAAAACATTTATATACTTCGAAATTAATCTAACTTTCTTAAAGAAATTGCTCAAGAAATGTTTCAACGTTGGTTATTTTTGTTAATTTCAATGTATTCTCTCAGATTTGTGAGAAAATGCAAGCTTTTTACACTAATATTATCTAAAAAATGTCTCATGAACGTATTTATATATCTTGTCAAACTTGGAAAAAATGCATACTTTTAACAAAAAAATTTCTGATGAACTTTTTCTTCTTATGAAAACTATTCCGTTATTAACATTTTCTATGCAAACATTTCTTTCGTGTAAAGTTAAATCTTGCCACCAAAAGTAAAAACAATTAAAACTTTTTGAATGAACTTTGATTAGTACTACTATAAATGCATTTTTGCTTTTTTTTGTAAGTTGTTATCGTAAATGTTTGTATTTTTTGCCATATTTACAAACCATTCACGCATTTTATCAACATTGTTCTAATGAATACTTTTCTTCATATCTTGTAAACGCTCTTATTGCAAGTCAAACTTTGATCAGAATTCATAGATTTATTCATATCATCCTTTGATAAGAATTCATACTCATTGAATACATTTTACAGCTTTTTTAATCCTGGAGTTTTAGATCTGGATTATAAATAGAGAGGTGATATTGATTGAATTGACATGCAACTATAAGCAAACAACTATTGTAAAATCCAAACTTTAAGCAATCTGTAATAAACGTTTTTTTGCTATGAAATTCTTCCTTTTAACGATTTTTAATGAAAACTCTTGAATGAAGACTCTCTCCTACAAAAGATAAAAATTTAGTTTTCGCATCGAATGTTTGGAATTTTTCTTTGGCATACATGACTATATTTGTAACTAGTAATTAATATTTAATAACACTTCACAGTTTAGAATTATGCTCGTCATTTATGGTGCTGTGAAACTTCACTATACTTTCTAAGGACAATCCATCCCTATAATTCAGTCTTTTAACCTGAAATATGCTGAATTAAACATACATTGTAAAATCTTCTCATAAATTTTCTTCATAATATTAAGCTGTAATGATTAAAAAACGGTAACAGCTGTTAATGTGATTTAAGACACAGATTTTTATCAGGAATACATCAGTTAATCACACTAATTGCATAAAAATGAATACAATTCAACAAATCGTGACACCGTGTTCAATCGAAGACTGTAGGAAAGATCTTCAATTTTCATCCGACATCTCTCAATCTTTAATTTTATCACTTTTTCTTCAAACATGCAATCCTATTGGCTTTTAAGACAAGATCACGTGACAAGAATACTGAGTAGGCGTGGGCGTTTTTTGGGTGTGGACCTTATAAAATAGTTGCCTGACCTTGAATGAGTGTAAAAATGGTATATGTTGAGCACTTACATGATTATTAGTTGGGAAACATCAATGTGGAAAAGGAAAAATCCAACCTTATTAATCTTTTTTTTTGTACCGGGAATATTTTGCTAAATAAAAGTATGTTTTGTTTTGATAATTTTTTGTAAAAGGTTATGGAATTGATATTACTGAAATTAGTTCCAATTACGGCATGTTTATTAAAAAGGAATAATTGATGCAACCACAGAAAACTTATCTAAAACGTATCCTTCTTTTCACTTAAGTTTGCACATGAGAATTAATGAGCGACAAATTTAAACTTATTTTCTGAACAAATTAAATTTAAGAATATTAAATCATTTTACAAATAATTTTTTTGTACCAGAGTTGAACATCCAATTCAAGGGTGATTTACAGGTACACATGTTCAAATTCTTTGCCTTGAAATCTCAATTCCCACTCCTAAGACAAGAATACTCTTGAGTTCGACATTTAGGCATTCTCTTTGAAAGAAAACATATTGACTGAAACGACCCAACACCACCTATAAGGCCTCTACACTGGTTTCCATTATTGAGAAATTTGATACTTCAGTAATCCGATTGTTGGCCGAATTTTGTTTCTGTCGAACTAACTCAGAAATGTTTTTATGTAAATTCTACCCATGTAGCCAAAATACCTGTTAGCTCTAATTATCTGTCTTAAATACCTGTCTTCCCAAAAGAATTACAGCTTCGGCAAGGATTACTCTAGTAATCTAACTAATGAACATAGATGCGTAGCGGGTGAAATTTTTACAGTTAGCACTGTAGTTTAGGTGAGTTTAGAGCAGCATATAAATCAAACATCCATTTCCAGGTCTCGACCTTTAATCATCTCTTTGTCATATATGAACATTTCCTCCTTTGTTCCACAAAGGATTATTTATCATATACTCTTGAATGGATTTTATCATTTTCCTATTAGTTGTAAAATTCATTTAATGAACACTGATACTAAATACACAGAATGAAATATTTACCTCTAGAATCCGAATCGATGCACGTGCTGCTAGAACTACGGAACCTGAAGAAAAAAAAACGTAAGTTTACATCAATTTTAAAAAATGTTTGTAGTTAATAAAAATATTTTTTAAGAAATTAAAACAAGCAATAAAGATGATATAATTTTTTAAAAAAATGCTGGGATAAATTTTTTTTTTGAAAAATAAATTATTATATGAAAGTAAAATTCCCAAATGATATTTTTTTAATATAAAACTTCAAAAATAAACTACGTTCTATTATGTAATACACAGCCTACACTATAAAAAATCGTTGTAACAGTAATCGTTGTAATGTAGTTTTTAATGATTTAAAAATATTAAACAGTCAAAAAACGTTGCAGTATATTTTAACAATATTATCCAGTTAAAAAGAGTTTTTCCGAATAGTATTTCAAATGATGCAGTTTTTCAACAGAATTAAAGGTTTTCAAACTGCTATACAGGAAATTTCAGTATGAGCTGCTTTTTGATTCGTTAAAAGAATGACGATATCTCCATTTGTCCATATCCAAACCGCTGTTTCATTTAAAATTGAGGAATGAAGACATAACTTTCTGAATTAAAAGAGTTCATATTCTGGTATAAAAAGGTGCTATTAATCTTCATTTTTTTCGTCCAAGAGTTTCCATTTTCAAAGAACAATATTTTTATTCAAATTATTAAATATTTTTGATTAGAAATGTTTTTAATTAGATATTAATCCCAGGAGTTGATAGGTTCCATTTGACATCTTGTCACGATGCATTGATTGTCATTCGATTGTGTTTACAACTCGTTGAATTATAGAACGTTTTTTTTTTAAGTTTGTTTTTAAAATAATCATCAATATTTATGATTAAAGTTTCGTGTAATATGTTTTCTGAGAGTAAATATAATTCTTTTTTTCCTTCTAAAAAAGTGAAAATAGCATTTTCTTATTCAATTTATTTATTATGGTAAATGAATACTTAAAGTGAAAGGGTTGTTGTTGTAGTTCATGTTGTAGTCATACGGTAAAATTTCCGTATTCCAAAACAAACGGTATTTAATCGTTTCATTTTTAATAACTTTTTCCGTTTATATGATAACCATTTACCAGAGATTTTTAGTTTTAAGAATTGTAGTCCTTATTATCACATGTTTAGTTGTAGTTAATTTATTGTAGTAGTTCTTTTGCCTCGCACTAGAGCTGCACAATGGGCTTTTGGCGACGGTCTGGGAAACATCCCTGAGGAGCATCCGAAGACATGCCATCCCAATTTTGATTCTCTGCAGAGGGGGTGGCACCCTCGGTTCTGTAGCCCGACGACCTGCACGAAAAGTCAAGCACTTTACAGTAGAACAGTTTAACGAGGACTTAGCTCACACCCCAGGTCCCTTTGCAGAATATTTCAAGTCACCCACAAGCACACTGACCATAGCCAGTGAGGCTTGACTTCGGTGATCTGTTGGGAATTGTGTCTAAACGATCACTGCGGGACTTAAAGTGAAAGGGAATGTACTTTTTAGTTTCCTTTAGTCTGCAATAAGAATCTCTAATTGAAAGACAAAGATGAAACTTTATGAGCCCAACTTCTTCGAAGGGTGAATAAAATTCTTTAAGTAAAGTTATTTATCACCAAGATAATGCCGAATTAAAGTTAATACACGCCTTATAGATATGCATAGCTTTATTATAAAATTTAAAAATGTTTGCATAACTAGCATTTTCTAATGAAACTGGTAAAATAATTTTGTTACATTATTCTCCTTGTATTGTCCTTTTATAATAATGAATATGAGATACTTAAAATATAACGAAATTTTTGTGGTTTATTGCTTGAAAAGACATTTAATTATTTTTTTTTTACAAGTTCTAACTTCAATATGCCTTCAATAAGTGGGACATGTTTATTTATGTGTGGTGCATAAGTTTAAAATTTCTCGATAAATAATGTTTTTACTATAGTCTAAAATTTCAGTCAAGCAATTTAAATACCCACATTCGTAATTTTTACAATTGCTGCAAAATTGCCAGTTTTATTATTTATAATACTCTTTTTGACAAAAGAAAAAGAATGGTTTCTTTAATCACAACTATGAATTCTAAAACTGAGTGATAACAATATATTGACTTGATATTATATTTTAAGAAGTTTTATGAAAATTTTCATGACTCAAGATTTTATTCATGCACATCATAAAAGTATAAAAGTGATTATTTATTCAAATTATTGATAATTTTTTTTTGCAATTGATTAGAAATAGAAAAGAAGTTGTTTTGTTAAATAAACTACAACGCAGATAGCTTATTCTAAAAAGTCTGATTATGCAGTAAGTATGCATTTTTGAGAAAGTTCCTTTAAAATGTATTGTTGTCTTCTATTGTTATTAAAGATTTTCTGGTATAATGCACAAAATAAAAACGGACCACCCTAAATAACATTTGATATAGTGATCAGATCTTCCCTTTCTAGGACTCAATCTTAATTGCTCAAAGGGTTGACATCAAATATGCTAAATAATTAGAGCAGATCATACCTTCTCGCTCCCTTGAAAATGACGGGGTGAGGTTTCACCCTCTATTTCTGGCTCCCGTGAAATTTCCGGACTGGAGCGTTCAGTAGTAACGCGCCAATACGAATAAAATAATTCATTTCTCTTGCCCAGAAAACATTTCATTTCTCATTTTACACACCAGGTGGCAGTAACAGAATATTTTTAAGGTAATTGTAGATAGTTAGTTTATTTTGAAGTAGATGTCAGCACTAATCAAATACGTGTATTTGGCAAAATAGGCACTTTTATCACCGTTTTCTTGAAAATTAACCGAACGTTAGGGGTTAAGAAATCTGACACAAAAACGTATTTTGTCTGAAAAAACAGATCTGTTTTTCGACAGATTCGGGTTTCTAATCCCCAAATCATACAGGGTATCCGCAATCTGGAAATAGGGTCCTAAGAGTTACCTAAGAAGAGTGGTTCAAAGTTTGAACCCCTTAATGTCAATCTTGCTTTTTGCGTATTTCACCACTTCTCAAAAACGTTTTAAGCTAATTGAAAAATATTTGCAGTCAATTGATGAATTCATTTGTCCAAAGATAATTCCATGCAAAAATAACTTATAACAAATATTTAATATTTTTATTATTTTTTAAATAACAGTTTCTCTGTATTTCAAACCGATATATTTTTAAAATATACCCTAATCAAAGAAGAATAATAAGAAAAAAAACTTTTATTTTTAATTATGTCACTTTTTACGAACTTTTAAATAGCGAAATTTTAGAAGAAAACTAAGATTTTCATTTTGGTTTCTACATGAAACTTAATTAGTTGTGGTAAATTTAAAAAATCCATGTAACATCGCAAAGAATTCTAATTTAGGAAATTTATGCTACTTTTCAGAATATTTCAAAATTAGATGGCGTAATAACTTTACTTTCAATATCAAATTATCGATCGTAGAGAAATTAATTTCAAGCTCAGGATCCGATAACCAAGTACAGTTGAAAAGCGCTGCCTTACTGATTTTCTCTACGTTATTTCGAAAACTATATATTGATTATTAGAAAGTGAGATATATTCAGCCCATAAGATTGATACTTTCCCCGCCATTTCGGAAAAATATATTGACTATTAGAAGATGAGATTAATTAAATCTGTATCATTTCCATACCCTTCATTTATAACTCTAAATTACATTTTGTATTTCCCTTATTCTAGGCTTTTCCAAAGCAGCGCAAGCAATTTCATTTCGAAAGTGTTTTTAATATCAATAATTTATGCGATGCAGTTTTGGAATCTAAATCAATAAATGAACAAAATAATAAATAATTTAATAAATAACATAATGATAATACGTAATAATTACATGAAAATATTTTAAAAACATAATAATAGCACATAAAAAATTTCTGAGATATTGTGAAATGTTTTATTTCTTTTGTTCTATTGTAATCTATTTGAGTATTATAACAGAATAATAAACTCTGTGTCAAGAAGAGCAATTTGAAATAACTGAAATTAATTTTAATACTAATCGCACGGTGAAAAACATTCCTGTAAAATTTCCGCATTATATGGAAACGAGATTTCTTGCAAAAAAAACATAATTCAAAATAAACGATATTTAATCGTTTCATTTTTAATAACTTTTTCCGTTTATATGGTAACCGTTTACCAGAAATTTTCAGTTTTAAGAATTGTAGTCCTTATTATCCCACGTTTCGTTGTAGTTCATTTACTGCAGTAGTTCATTTACCTCTAATTAGAGCAGCAGAATGGGCTATTGGCGACGGTCTGGGAAGCATCCCTGAGAATGGTCCGGAGACATGTCATCACAATTTTGATCCTCTGCAGAGGGTATGACACCCCTCTTCGGTAGCCCAACGACCTGCACGCGAAGTCGACCACTTTAAGGTAGAACAGTTTAACGAGGGCCAATACCGCACATCCTCGGCAACTACCAGTGTCCAACACCGTAACACTTGTAATTTTGTACCCAGTCCAGAAGACAAAGGAGCACCTGGATCAAGTACTGGCGGAAATTGGCCTCCTTGGAAGACTTTTTGAAGGAACTAACTCACATTTGCGTCACATGGAGAGGAAAACTACGAAAACCTCCACAGAAAATGTAACGGCGTAGAGACTCTAACCCATGATCCATCTATCACAGAGGATACTTTACGTCAGCGCTGTGGTTGGTGCGAGCCGGGGGCAGAATTCGTATAGACTAGCCATCCCTGAGATCGAAACCGAGTCACCTCATCGAGAGGCGAGCACTCTACTCCTTGAGCCATCATGGCTAAAAATTAGGAATGGTGATATTTTTGCCAAGAACATTTAGAAAAATCTGTGTTCTCAAGGGAAGCATCTCAAGAGAATCGGTGTTCTACATAATAATTTTCATCCACGAAGATGCTGCCCATGTCATGGATAGTATCTTCTTATTTGCTCCAAATTAAAAGATGTTGAAACTACAGATACTTCTCGTCTTGATATGTTGCCCTTATAGCAAATCAGCTTATGGCCAATCGACCCTGGCTAAACGTATGATAAAAAGAAATATGTAACCCTCATACCAAGGTTTTTTGACATCTGACTACCAGAACGAACTCTGTGGTCTAAATAAGTTAAATTGTGGTCTAAATAAGTTATAATCACCCTTTATTATTTTTACCGAAAATGTAATTATAAATCGATTGTCCTTCAAAATAGTTTAATATAAAAAAAATTCAATGGAAATACAAATTTCTTCTTTAAATTTCTTCGAATTTAAAATAAGAGCAAATATTTTTTTAAGTAACTAAAAAAAACTACAAATTTCTAAACAATATAATACTTTTGAAAAATTATAAATTTCTTTGTTCAGCAGATATTTTATTTATTTATTCCCCCCCCCTACATTTTACAAAATAATTTGCAATCGTAAACATAGAAAAAAAGCCATATACAACTATTCAATTACTTTTTTTAGATATATTAACGATTCTTGTTATCGTAATCTAAATAAAAAAGAATGGAAAAATTTTGCCTTTTTCTATAGATTCAGCTTTCTTTAAATCTTCGATAGTTGAGCAGTGAAAGTTCACGTATGTAAATCGTATTACATTTGTCTTTTAATATATTAAGTATTTAAGTAAAACTCGTTAAAAAAATTTACTGAATACGAAATAAAATTGGTTAAACACAAGATATTTAATATAAAAAAGAATGAAATCCACATTTACTGAAATCTTCTCCCAAACAGTAAATTCATGGAAGTTCTTCGATAAGTAGAGTCACTTATAACTTCTCTCATAACTTCGAAGAGTGCATCAACCGAAAACTACTTCCTCTATCGATTCTCAAAAGCAACCCCTTCTCGAACTCTGAATAATTTAAATCCCTTTAGAGATGCTCTCTTTCCACGCGGCGCCCTTTCTGCTCGCATCATCATCTTGAAACTAGCCAACTGTATATAAGAATGATAGAACGAAACTTCTTCACAAATCCACTCGAGAAGAAAGGGCAGGAAATACCTTTATACTATGATTAGGAAAGTACAGACTTTATAACCTTTGATAAATGCCTGCCATCAATCCGCTGAAAGATATTAAAGTGTCACCTAACTGGTGGTGGTGATATTTGCTGTGTGCTTTTAGTGGCAATTTGTAATTTAATGTTTCGACAATTCTATTATATTTTCAGTAGAGAATCGTTGTAGTAATTGTTGTTTAATTGTTTTAGTAATTGTTGTTGCCTAAAGTGATCGCTTTCATTACCGATTCTAACCAGCTAGAGTGGGCTGAAACATTTTGTGACATTACAACATGCATCTTTGCTCATGTAGGTCATACATGCGCACTTCTGCGGATTGAACATGTTGTCGGAAACTACACTGCAAAGGAGAAAAGTCATGCAGGTATAGAGGTGACGCCGGAAAACAATTACAAAGAGACTACAACCTTCTAAACTACAAAATAATGCCTACATTATTAAAATTAAGTAAATACGGCATAGACATGCGTCGTAACAAAACAGAGAGTTAAGCACTTAAAATGTAGGGATACGCCTCATTTAACAGACCGTCTGATATTATATTTGCATGATATTCGATAAAAGCAAATCTTCTGTAAATCTTGAGCGTGTAAAATTGTTTTGAGCATTTTCCATCAATATTTTTTAGTCTATTTAGAGATTTTTAAAAAATTTCACTTCCTTTTAACAGGGTATTAATATAGAAAATCTCACTTATACTAAAAAATTATAAAAAATTATTAAAATGTCCGCAACATGTACCCTAAAAACTACGTTGGTTATAAAAATTATGCAAACAAAAATTGAACATGCGTAATAACAAAAACGTGAGAAGAGCACGTGGAATACAAAATGGACTCTGGATCTTGTTCCACGACGAGTATTTATATTCAAATTAATTGTAAAGCTTCTTTAAAACTTAATAGGACACGAAACAGATCATAAAACGATTTCTAGTCTCGTGTGGTGATGGTAGTTGTGTTTTTGATTGAAGGCTATCTCTATTGGAAAAACTACATCGATTGAAATACTGTGAAAATGGAGGCCATGTAATTGATCCCACGCAACCTGTCTACTTTATTGGTTAGATTATGATTATGCGCCTGGAGGACGAAATATGCAGTAGCGCTAACATACATGGAATACATAAACTCAAATTAAGAATAGCATCATGCTCACACAGCTTTCTTCTTCGTTTAATTCAGAGCCTACATGATATTTCTGCGATTTTCACTCTCTCATCATGGTTTATGTTTTGGGGTAAATTTTTAGATTTTAGATTTTTTTATCAACCCTTTGAATTTTTCGATCGAATTTTGGAGCATATTTTTTTTTAATCCTAATGTGATACATTCTCAGAAATTGTTCTTTTTAACCTGACTTATTTGGTTATTATTAATAATCGGAGATAGTATCATTATTATTAATATCCAAGTAGTAATATTGATCCTCATGTACAGTTAAGATTTTTTTTCCTTCTGATCAAATGAAATATTTCAATAATTCTGTATACAATGAAATACTCATGATTTTATGATAGATGTTTCAGCTATTTTTCAAAAAAAGCAGATTTCTCATACGCCTGCCGAAAAGTTTGATGTCGGAGTTTTATAGCCTGAGTTTATCGCTTGATTGCATTGTTCCAATTTATCGCCATTTTCTTAGTGTCACTATGTGTTGCGTAGCATAATTAAAATTTATTATTCTATTCAACTGACCCAATTGTCTTGTCAATCATTCTTGATAATATCCAAGTAGTTGTATTCACCGAAGGTAGGGACAATTTTTTTTCTTCGCAACAGTCAAATGAAATGTTTTAGTGATGTTGTATGTAATGAAATGCTCATGTTATCATGATAGATTTTTCATTGATTGACATAAGATAATGGTAATGCCTGATAATGAGTTTATCACTTTGCATGCTTGTATTGTTCTAATTTATCACCATTTCTTTATTGTCACTACGTGGTGCATCGCATATTTAAAATCTATTATTCTATTCAACTGAATTATTTGTTTATTATTAATAAACAAATATCAATATCAATACTTTCATTATTGATAATATCCGAGCAGTTGTATTGACCTTAAGGTAGAGATAAAAAAAATTCTTTTACTCAAATGAAATGTTTTAATAATTTTGTATGATACTAAATAATGAAATACTCATATTTAATAAGTTTTTCATATTTAATAACTTAATAAGTTTCTAAGTTTCTCCATGACAGACAGGCTTTTCATGAGCCTGTCAATGAGCGTATTGCATGCTTGTATTGTTCAAATTTATCGCGATCTTTAGTGTCTTTACGTACATAGCATAAACAAAATCCCCAATATTTTTTTAATGAAATACATTTTAAGTTAGAAATTCATTTACTAAACACGAATCAATTGTCAGAAGCATAAGCTTGTAATAGTCACAAAGTAATAGAATAAAAAAAAATAAATAAAAGTGTGTTTTTCTTACCGTGATGATGAAAAGAGGGAGGACGTGGGAGGATGGCCATCAACTGAGATTGATGACTTTCTACCAGATTCATCCTGATGATCCTGAAAAAAGATGGAGAAGAAGAAAATTAGTCGAACTTTAGAAGAAGAAAATATGTTATGAGGAAAAAACATTTTTAACATAATGGATATAAAATTATTCAATTTTTTTTTAAACACACGAGATTTTTATTTATTTTTTCATCATAACTTGCTATTATTTTTGATTCTTTGAGTAAATTACGTGGTTGAATATGTTTTTTACTTCTAATAAGATTCTCCGTTGATGTTTTTGAGAGGAATTACTGAATTTGGAATTTATTTTGATGTTCATCATTTTAGTAGTCTTAAATTTTTTTCTAGTTTAAATATAAACTAGAAAAAAATTATAGTCTAAATTATTAATTGAATTATTAATTGAAATTATTAATTGAAATTATTAACTAGAAAAAAATTCTAGTTAAAAATTTGTAGTTCAAATATAAACTAAAATTTTTTTCTAGGTAAAATAGAAACTAGAAAAAAATATAAACTATTTTTTTCCAGTTTAATATAAATTTTCAATTTTAAAATAATTGCAAAATAAGAGATAATAAGGCGCTTCTGCGTATTGCATTGTAAAAATTCCGGATAAAATTACGGTATTATTTACCGGCGACGCATGGATTAAGTATGAGTGCATCATCCGTGAAATTTATTTTACCGTAAAATATTATACAGTAATATTTACAGTGATATTTATTTTAGACTGATTTGGTAAATATTACTCTAAAAATTCAGATTACGGTAATTTTACGATAATTAATAGATTATGCAGTTAATATTACTGTAAAAATTACGGTCTGTCAGATTGTTTTGTTCTGAAACATGTTCTGGTAAAAGTGAATTTCATGGTAAGAAATGCAGTAACCCTGAGAACTTGAATTTGATTTAAATTTTCCTACAGTGTGTGCTGATTTCTAAAAATTCCAGAAATCTGTTTCAATTTATGTAAATGATAAAGTACAAATCTGTAAACAATACTAAGAAACAGTTTGATGTGAAAGTGTCAGGAATTTGACAAGAATGTGCCTGAGCAGGTAAAATCATTGTAAATATAGTTTTTCAACAAAAGAAAAACCATCGGAATTAATGTACTTTAAAGGAAAACGCACAGTTTCTGAAAATACATATTTATTAAGAAAGTGGTGAAAACGTGAGCTCTTTTTATATTTTGCGAGTTTCAAAAATCTAAAGTAAATATAAAGTTTGAAAATTACAGATCAGCTATGCAATAAAAATAAAAGATTGGCTCATGCGTTAAATTATAACGAAGTAAGAAGACAAATTGAGTAAATATTTAGGAGAGAAAAATTATCCATCACCAAGAAATTAAGGAGACATGCTTAATTTTTGATAATGTAAGGGAGAAATGTTAGTATTTTTCCCAATATATAACAAAAAGGAAAAATTCGACATATTTCTGCGTCATGTTAGTGATTTTAATTCAAACTTTTAGTACAGAAGCAGTTATATATTCCACTTTTTTTCATTTATTCACTTTTATCTTAGTGTGCTGAAACTTAATATAAGATCAATGATGATTTTAATAATAACAGATCACTCCTATAAATCGATCGAAATTTTTTCTGAAAGGTTTGATAGTATTACTGTTTGAAAAGCTTAAAACTTTAATTAGCCTTAGAGAATATTCAAGTTTCTTTTATTAGTACTTTTAGCGCTGTTTTGAATTTGAAAGATCTCTAAAACTCTGATTTTTTCCTATTCTTGTAGCAAAATAACTCGTCATATATTCTTTTCGAGTTAAAGAGAATTAATAATCGAACAATGAGAATAAAACAAGAAAATAATATATTTAAAAATTATATCTAAATATAATCTAGTAATCTCAAAATAAATGATAAATAAATACTGCGTAACTTTTAGTTCAGTCAGTCATTTAAATTAAAATCGGCCATTCATGCATTTATTAATTTAAAATTTCATTTGAATTATTTCGTTATTTATAGAATAATTTTTAATTATTCTGATTTCTTCATTGATTCTTTTAATTTTAGTTGCTATATTAATTGTTCATCATTTTAAATTTTAATAAATTCATTACTTGTTCGAATTTAAAAGTATTCAATTAAATATTCAAGACATATATTTATTTTTTTCGTTAAAACATTATTCATTAAGTTACGAGTTCTATTTAATAATTTATTTATAAATTTAATTAGATTTTAATTAATAATTTCTCATTCGAATAAATTTCATTTATTATATATTTATTCATTTAAATTATTTGTTATAATCATTTAAATTCATTTATTTTTTAATCATTAAAGAAATTGTTTAAATTGTTTCATTATTTTAGTTTTTTAATCATTAAAGTTTTAATTTTTTATTTTTGTAGAAAAGCATGAAGCAAATACATAGAATATGGTATAAAGAGTATTTAACTTTATATAAAAAAAAAATAATAATAATAATTAAATAAATATTAAAATTGGTAAGTTTCAAAATGAATAAATTATAATATTTTCAATGGAAATGAGAAAATAGAAAAAAAAATTTATCTCACATAATTTCTTTCACTTAAAGCTTGTAACATTTTGCTATTTTTAGCCACACTTACCCAATAATGGATCAAGCTGAGATTTAATACACGTTCCAAAATGAAATAAAAATTGTTCGTAGTTTTAAAATTAAATGATTTACCATAAGATAAGAAATATTTCGCAATTTAATTTATTTATGAGCCAAAGATTTTTTTTTCAAAATATTACTAACAAAATATATTTAAAGGAAAAAAGATAAGGAAAGCTATGCATACAAAATTTAATTACACTAAACTTATAAAACTAAGTAAACAAATTTATCACATTTCCTGAGAGCATCGAATCATTAGTTTTATGAGTTTCCATTCTAAAAGTTTAAAAGCTCAAACTCTTCTAATGTTCGAAAATAATGTTTCTCAATGATTCTTTATCTTCCTTTGTTGCCAAAATAACATGTAATTAGCATCAAGGAAAAAAAGTCATGTAGGCTCTGAAGATTCTGAAAATAAGACGTTTCTCAAACTGTTCCATCGTGTTTACTGATTGTATCTATGGTCACGCGTTCATCTTCAGTTCCGAAATGGCATGGTTGCAGTTACGCCAAACAGATGATTAAAGATCGCGTTCGGAAAGAGCAGTTGTGTGGAGATGGGTGGAATATAGCTTGAACGTGACTGCGTTTCTGTTGCTTTCTAAGTGCAAGTAACTCTATAGTTCTAATAGGTTTTATCGTCTGCATGAATCTGGAAAGCGTGAAGATATATATTTGGTTGAAATTGGTGGCAACAATTTGTCACGTCTGACCTCCAAATGGAATGTGGTTTCATGTTTTAATTCATAATAAAAGAATTTAAATGTGATTAAAAATCAACTATACCATTCCATGCGCTGTTTTAATTTTGGAAAAAGATGAAAATAAATTCCTTTCTGCTGAATAGCGCTTTAAGTAATGTTTTTAGATTGTTTTTGGAGATAGTTTTTTTTTGTGATGATTGTTTTTGCCGTTTTTATGTGAACTCAAAAACCAAATTTGTCATAACACTATGGCTTAATGACAAGGTTGATTAAAAGTTTATTACAGTGAAATTTGTTATTTATAACAACTTTAATATTAAATAACTGTAAACTTGTCAGAAATGACAAAACTTGCTGTTTTCTAGCAAATATTACAGATGAAAAATTCGAGATTATTTAAAAAGAAAATCATTATTAAAACTAGTTAATATAATGTTTCTCGAAATAACTTAATTATGAGTTTTAGGAAATTCATTGTTTTAATGAACAAAAAAAGAAATTAATATATTTTATGCTGAAATAACTGACTAATTAAAAAAGAATTAACTTACTAATTGAGTGAGAAATAAAAAACATAAATATTCAAAAGTGAATGAATTTAATAAAGCTAATGTAATAACGAAATAACTCATTATTGCTGACGAATCCTAAACTGGACACTATTGAGTTATAGGCGATATTTTTATTTAGATAATCATAAATAATTAATATAATTATTACTTTTATTTACATAATTAATATATTTAATAATTAATATAATGCAATTTTTTAAAAACTGTTTAAACGCAAGATTGAAATAAAATACATATAAACTCATATAAAACAATGCTTTTCCTATTAACATGCACAGATAGTCATGGATTTAATGGAATGAATTACGTGATTTTCATAACTTTAAGTAAAATAAGACACTTTTGCTTGATATTTTTAAATTATTCACTTGAGTTCAGTTAAGTAATTTAAATAAATATTTTCATTTCAAAATTATAATTTAATTTCATTATTTAATAATTTAATTTCAAAAATATTTTCATTTATTTCCTTTATGGATCATCTGTTGTAAAAAGTGGACTCAATTAGAGCATTCTATAAGGAACAAAATGATGCACACAAATTTTATCACTATCTTAAATAAATTTCTTACAATAACTTCTCATAATTATTTTTGGTCACAATCCTTTGCAAGATATTTATTTTTTGTTTTGCATTGAAATAGTTTATTAAACATTTTTTTCTCCAAGTAGTTATCAATGATAAAGTTTTCGTTAAAAATTTGAATTAATTCAGCTATAATTTCTGAATTTTTTTAAAAAGTTTTCTACTGAATCTAGCTAGTTACTAAATAATAAATATTACTAGACTGACTCTTAATAAGAGATAAATTTCTGTATCAGAATGATTGTTTTAAATTATAAATCATTCTGCTGAACTCATGTCTGAACATATATTAATGAATCAAATTTAAATCAGGTAAGTTACGAAATTTCACAATATTGTTTTGAAACAAATGTACATAGGTCTTTTTTCAAAACTAACGTCTCAATATTTGGTAATTATCTCTCCATATAGATCAGAAAAGCAAACTCAAATAGAATAAATACGCAGAAAATCCCGGAAGTGGAGCATTTGTCATTTTCCGGTAAATCCATTAAAAGTTCGCAATCAATAGAGGTTCATTTTTCTTCACTGACAGGAAACATTCGCCAACACAAAATAGGGAAACAA